CTATTTTGTTTCTCTTTTCCAAAGCATATATCAAGGTAGGAAAAGTAACAGTGAGTTTTGGCTAACTTTTGAAATTCTGGATTTGAACTTTTGAAGATCTTAACTCGTATGGCTTCTACATCCGTGAAGGTATTCGGTGATGGAAAGGAGATTGGCTTGTTCATGTCCCATGTTTGGGCTCTCAGCCAGGTTACAACTGCCTGAAGAAAAGGCTCCATTGTTTCTTAAACTGTGAGACTGACATTTTGAAAACAAACAAACAAACAACAGGCAAAGCAATTCTACTGTAGTTGAGAATAATTCTTTTCCTGAGTGTGATAGAGCATGAGTGCCATTTAAATAAATTTTCAATGCTAAAGCCAGCCAAGGCCTGCCACTTTATAGCAAGAGTCATGTAATGACATCTTTCATGCTCTCTCAATTTGTACAGAACTGTTTGACTTGCCCTTGTGAGCCTTACAGGAAGCAAGGAGAATGTCTCTTTGTGAGAGATTTATAAACATGTCCTTGAAGACTGAACGGAGAGGGGCATGTTCTGCTGAGGTGCTGGCAGTTTTTCTAATCTTTGCCACATTCAACTATTGTTGTGTTGTTTCACTTTAAATGCGACTCTCACCATCACGTTCTCTCCCCTAAAACCTTGCAGTTCATTATGTGCAATTTTAATACAGTCTTTCCTGAATAAAGAAGTACATGGCTATTGACTTCAGAGAGAAAATAAAGTGTTTTTGTGTTATGACCTTACAGGTTTTACTTAGTCATGCAGTGAGATTTTTATCTGCAAGGAGTGATAGGGTTTTACTGACAATTTGCAGAGCTTTTAGCAAAGCATTAGCGATTAAAGTACTAAAAGTTATTTTAAATGTAAAAACCAACAGAAACTTGCATTCACTCCGTCAAAGCAATTTAATAAATTGTATTCAAATTAGCTCTTAACAAGCCATGGAGCCTGCCAAATTGCGTTTCGAAAGATGAATGAGCACACCTTTGCCAATAAGACCCTTTATGGCTATTTGAGATGAGCTTTTGCTAATTGTGTTTGACTGCTAGATGGGAGGCTTGGAGAAAGAAAATTTTGTCCCAGTGTGCCAAATCCTGAGGTGTCTATCATTGCCCTGTGTAGTGTTGTGCTGAACTGCTGCAGTATTATGGCGAATTAAAGGGTAGTAGGCAACAAATAAGTTACACACACCCCTTTTAAATAATTAGTGAATATTTCTTAGACTGTTGCTTGGTAGTTGAGACAGGTCTCACACTCCAGGAAAACAGGAAGTGTGTGAAGTTCTGAGTAACTTCTTATGCCATTTGTTTAGAAGCTTGTGGTATAAATCTTCCATTGGCAGTAGAAGCAGGGTAGATTGGTGCTCCAAGCCCTGCCATGGGCTAAAACAAGGAGGGGGAGAAGGAGAGTCACTGACTCAGCTTTATGTGGGATCTTGTGCAAATCTCAAAAGGGTTTTCTTCGGATGGGATTGTTCTGAATTTTATTTTTTTGAAATCATTGACAAATAGCAGCTTGTGAAGCCAGTCTCACAGTCAGGTTTTCTTGGTGGTAGGACCCACAGTGCCTGTCTCATTTGGTGGTGATCTGCTTGTTATGTGATTCAGGCTTTTGAACTTTTTGATAGCTGGTGCTGGAGAAGAAAAATGAACATATTTATTTTTTTCCTAAAAATCTGCCCACTGTACAACACTTCGATAGTCTGCACCTTTCAAACCATTCAAGCTTGGAGATGTGGGAATAACTTCCCTATAGGAAGGGGGTATGTGAAAAATTTGAGTGCTCTCAAATTGGGGTTTATAGGATCATATGTTTGCTGGAAGAACGAATTAGATTCAGGGATGAAAGTGCAAATTTTCCATCCAGGTTCTTAATCCCTTACCAGTATGGCTTAATGTAACTGTACATGGAGCACAGCACAGGAAGAATGCAGAAGTGTTGGAGTGAGCCCAGGGGAGGCCACGAAGATGATTAGAGAGGCCACAAAGATGATCATCTAAGAGATGATCTTAGATTCCATCAAAGATGATTAGATGAAACATCTCTCCTATGAGGAAATACTGAGAGAGTTAAGGTTGTTCAACCTGGAGAAGTCTGTGAGCAGACCTTATTGTGGCCTTCCAGTACCTAATACAGGAGAGTTGGAGTGGGACTTTTTAAGAGGGCATGTAGTGACAAGACAAGGGGGAATGGCTTTAAAATGACAACTGGTAGGTTTAGATTGGGTCTTAGGAAGAAATTTTTTACTGTGAGGGTGGTGAGACAATGGCACAGGGTGCCCAGGGAAATTCTGGGTGCCTCATCCCTGGATGTGTTCAGGACCAGGTTCAGTGGAGGTCTGAGCAACCTGGTCCTAGTGAAAGGTGTCCCTGTCCATGGCAGGCAGTTGGAACTAGGTGATCATTAAGGTCCCTTCCAACCCAGGTCATTCTGGGATTAAGTCAAATAGACTATTCATACTGTCTTTCTAGTTGGTGAGGTGCAAAGTTGTGGTTGTGTGGATGCAGTATGTTATCATCTTAACTTCCTCTGAAGCTGTCAGATCACAGCCTGTTAGAAGCTGTATTTCACTAAGTTCTTGAAGGTCAAAGAACCAGCACTACAGCACTTGCCCTTATATAGCTGGTCAGTGCAGTCTCCAAGTCATCTCTGTCATCCATCTGCTCCAAAGCCACATTACTTGAGCCTATATTTCACTGTGCCTCTACTGGGAATTTTTTTTTCTTGTGGCTCTCTTGATGTTTGTTTATAATGTTGAGTGAAAAAATTAATTACTGTGCAATGACATTTTTACAATGAACTACTGCTTTCTCCAAATTTTAAGATGTTTCTGTCTAATTGAAGCTCTGAATGAAAAGAGTTAATACTGAACTTTTCTTACTGGTTTCACTGTTGAGTAGCAACATAGTTCTAGCCTATTTACAAAAGCTTGTCACCATTCTTCTATATATTTAGTAAACTTTGGAGGCAGGTGTAATTCAGGAAGTCACGAATGAAATTCAAAGAATTAGGCATTACACTGCTCTTCAAAAACTAAGACATGAACAGCTGGTGACACCCATAGCGTTGTTCCTTGGGTGACCAGGGTGAATATTTGCTGATGAAGGGAGAACCTGAGAGTTTTACCAGATTTGATGGTCATTGCAATTTAGATGCTCTTCTGAAATTTACAGTCTTGATTCAAACCATCTAGATGTATAAAACTGATTTTTACTCTTGCCTTGCCTGTAGGACTGTAGGGCTCTTTGTCACTACAGTCAATTTAACTCCAAATGACACTGCTGACTGCAAATTTAATGTGTTTCAGAAAAAAATTAAAGACATTCTGTAGTGATCAATTGTAGGATAAAATGTCTTTATTTCCAATTTTTTTTGAATAATTGGCTTATAGGCCACTTTAACTATTAAGATCAGTCCTAAAAACCCCCCCAAAAACAACAAACAAAATAAAAACACCAAACCAAACCCCCAAAACTACAACCCCCCAAAAAAAGAGATTTTGGGGTTTTACCTGAGATAAACTTTCTATTTTGAAAATGAAGCATCTCAAAAGCATCTAAGCTTTAATCTGAATTCATTAGAAACTGTCTTCTTTTATAGTAGTTTTCTGCTCCCCATGCACTGATTTTTTAAAATGATTGCTACCATATGAGGAATTAAATCTTATTCCAGTTACTCAGTTACTGGTGGAAAAACTGTACTTCTGAAGGAAAAAAAAAAAAAAAAACAAAGCCCCTACATAAGTGTTGTAAAATTCATAAGTGCTGAAAACCGATGACAGCTTACGGGACATGCCCGATTAAAATTTGCGGCTAGAACTGTAGTTGTCAGAAAAGTTTTTGTGATACTTATCAGCTACAAGCACCAGAAGGGACATATTTTGGTGAGTTTCTTTAAGGTCTCCATAGCTTTAACCCAAGAAACCTGGCAGGGCTGGTAGACTCAGTCTGGTGCACAGTTTTTTGGCTCTTTTGCTGGATGGCAGCCAGTGCATTAGTGCTGGAACCGTTCCTGCCTGTGCCTGGAATTACTCCCCGGGAGACAGCACAGCCCCCACCAGGCAGCCTTACGGAGAGGCAAAGTACTTGAGTAAACTCAGGCCATCTGTTGGCTGCATAAATTAGTTTTCTCCATTTGCCCATCTAGCCATAAGGTATCCACCCTTCTTTTTTTTTCCTCCCCCAAATAATGTATTTTTTCTTTTTCCAGGTTTAGTTCAGTGGAGATTGGTAAATGCATTTTTTACTTTTTTCTTCTTTAGTTCTTGTGGTTACATGCAATTCATTATAGTGGCTTTGTTTAACAAATCAAATCATCTCCTTCATATGCACGTTCTACTTTGGAAAACAGTTAATGGGTCCTCAGAGACAACCTTTATTCATGATAGAGGAGAAAAACATTTATAGTTCTGTGCCCTCCTTCCAACCCCCATCTTTTTTCCCTTTTAATTTTTTCCCCATTTCCCCTTTTTGTTTTACTTTTCCCTTTATTCCTCTTTTCTTATTTGTTCCTCTTCCTCTTTCCTCATGAATACTAACACTATCATATGAATAAATAGATAAGAGACTAAATTGATTACATTAGCATAACTTAAATGATTTGTTTCTATTGGTATTTGTTGTTCAGCATTCAGGGAAGAATTAAATTCAGGAGTAACTATTTTATTTCAAATTCAGTAATTTTAAAGGATTTCCATTTTACTGCTTTCTTAGCAATCCACGGGAATCAGATTACTTGAGCATTTAGCAGTTTGATAGTTTATCTCTAAAGCCAGTCAGTTTTGAAGATGTATTAAATAATTTTTAGTGGCAGCTTCTTCTTCTCAGAAAAAAATGTGAAGTACTTCTTTCACAAGGCCTGTTCAGAATTTCCTAGCAGTAGCCTTCCTGAAGCTGTCTAGTAAGACAGAGGACATCTTGATGCTTCTTCTGTCAAGTCAATTGGTTTATTTTGAATGTCTAGTGTAATTTTGATTAATTTCCATTTTTTCCTCTTGCAGATTTATAAGGATAACAAAGCATTGTATGATGTAGAAGCAAACAACCCTCGTCAGCTAGTGGAAATTGCAGCCAGAGACATTGAAAAACTTCTAAGTAACAGGTCTAAAGCCTTAGTGGTGAGTACTAACGGGTTAAGTTTTCTATGTAGTATTTTAAAAAAATCTTTATTTACTATTGAAACATGCTTTTATAGTTATTTTTACTGCCTATACTCTTAGAGGCAGTGTCAGTGTGATGTGTACAAGACATGACATGTAGAAAGATGGCTCCTGACTTCATGGTAAAAATGAACTCATTAGTTTGCTGACATAGGGCAGATGCTTATAATATTGACCGACAGATAGGAACCATGTCCAAGTAAGAAATCGAGTTATAAATAGGTTGGAAAATATTCCTCTAAGTGACGCACATGAATGTTTATGACTTCAAGATCACTGTACTCTACCGTCAGTAATGATATTGGGGAAACAAGAAATAGGGTTTTATTTTCTGACTTGCTAATTTAACCTGTATTTCAATTATATATTGGATCAACACAGTTAATCCTGAACTGTTTGTGTGAAGGCCATGCTGCATTGCGACCTTACAATTTTTTATGCTGTAAATAAGAAGTAGCTGTTTCTTTAAAATGCTTTTGCCATCAGTCCCTTTCTCTTCTATCCTGTAAGACAGCGGACACGGGTAATTGCTTTTTATGATTCCTACTCACATCACTCTCACTCATATAAGACTTTGGAGTGCTTTTCAGAAGATACTGGCCAAACAGGAATGGGAGGATCTGGATGAAATAATAAACATGCTTGGTACAGAGTACAGCTATTAGAAATAGGTTTAAAGGATGGAATAGCAGACTCGATTTCCTTGAGCAATTACATATCCACATAGGCTTGCAGATGAGTTTGGATGTGTCATTTAAAGTGAAAGAGAAAAGAAAGAGAGATTAATTCACCTAACCGTAGACATCCACTCAGCTGGTTGTCCTAAGCTCCTTTTTTGTTCAGTGGAATAAAACAGGCACTTCTCAGTCAGGACTGACCTGACATATTCTGAGTAAGACTTTAAACGGAATGAACTATAGCCCAGAAGTACTTCTCTCTTTCTCAGTCGGAGAACCCTCAAATGTAAAATGTAAGTGTGTAAAGCTGGGGGAGATGAATCCCACCCAAACAGTCCTTTTATCAGTACCATTCCATGCAACTGAAGAATCAGTGTGAGTGTGAAACTACTGCTGCTATCCTGAGAACTCCCCTTTTTGTAGGCGATGAGATTTTGCATAGTTCGTCATCTGTGCACACAGGAGGTACCACGGGAGGTACCTGTTGTCCTGTCTTTGGTTCTTAGCAGGAGTTCACTCTTCCATCTCAACCCTAACATACAATGTACATCAGTGTTATCTGGGCAAAAACTTCTCTAATTCATTCAAATAAGCGTAAAAGAGATACGATTTTTTTGCTTGTTTTCCCGTTTTACTTCAGTGGGCATGTGCTTATGTGGCAGTATGTGGACTTTCTATTATTATCGCAGAATATTATAAGTCATTTGCAGACCTTTATGAATACACCAGTTTTTTTCTCCATTTTCCCATCAACCCATATAAGTTTGATGGTTTTAATTTATCATAGAAAAATTTTATATATTTTTCAAAACTCAAGATTAATGTAGGAATTTGTTTGTGATGATTTGATCTTAAAATTTTAAGAAAATTAAAGAATTATCTTGTGCTTATGCAAAAAAAACTTCCCCAGGACAGTTTTCCTGTGAATGTGGAAGAAGATTGCTACCTCATTTTAGGCAAGCACATGGTCACTTTTTGGAAAGGGTAACATGATTCAGTTCTCTGATGTAAAAGAGGATTAAATTAGGAGAATTCCTTTGATCCAGTTGCTCTAATGGCTCAGATATTTATACTGACTTTTCTATTTGTAGTTATCTCAGATATATATCAGAACTTCCAATAACTTCTGATTTTAAACCTTCCTGCATATTATTTTTTATACACAGGAAATACTTATTATCTCCTGCGCCTGAACTGTTGCTTTCTACTAAGAGAATTTCTTCACCTTCCATATGTATTTCACTTTCTGCTTTTTTCAAGGACTATATTTTTGCTGGCATTTTATGAACTTTATGTAGTGAAGCTGAATTTATCTGATATTTCCGTCTTCATAAATCTGATGGGTCACATTTTCTCTGAAATCAGGAGTGGTGTTGAATGGAACTGCTATTAATGACTGCACAGCGGGTTTTACCATTGGGGCTGATATGACTCAAAGTTTTAATTGAAACCTCAATCCTGAAAAGAGTATGATGCAAAAGCACCAGACATCCTCCAGTGATGCCAAGAGGAAAGTGCCAGTGAATGACATCAACAGTGTCATTGTTCAGAGATAATCATACCCCAGGGATGCCATGGTTTCCTTTAGGCGTGGTGCACAGTCAATCTTTGGGCAAGGTTATAATAGGCAAATATTAGTGATGACTTTTTAATAGTAAGTAATTTTCCCTTGAGCTGTAAGAGTACCTTTAAATGAGAAATATCTTTTGAATTTCAAATTATTTGTGTGTTCATGCAACTTTGAGCTAGATAACTCTCTAGCTGTAACAGTAAAATTACCAGGTAAAATTATCAGGTTCTGTGCATTGCACACAAAAGACTTGAATACCACAGAAAACCTTTGTGATTTCATCTCTGGTTTATATGAGAAGAGATTATAACAAAAATCTGGACAAAGGCAACAGTAAGGGAAAAAAGTCTATTTTTATTTTTCCATGTGTATGACTTTACATTTGACATAAAAGCATAAAGCATAAAAGTGATGTTTGAAACAGGTACCTAGCTGAGGAAGGAAAAAGGGGAAAGCCCTGATCTGAACTCAGAGGGCTTTCTTAGATCACTATTACTAGTAAATGTTAGCCATAAGAGAAAAAGTTAGGATGAGAAGAAAATGGAAAATTTTCTAGCAAAGTGCAGTGGAAGAAAGTAGTATTAGTAGTAAGGAGGTAGACAGGCAACAGCCTTAAAGTCAAGGATGTCAAAGGCTGTCTTGCAATAGAGCCTGTTGTTCAAATAGTGAACATTTCTTTTGTATTTTACTGTTGCTTACTATTGCACATTTGCCTGGACTAACGGTACTGAACACCCACTATTTCAATATTATTAAACTCCCATATCCATACGGTCCTGCAAGGAGCAGGAGGTTGGACTCAATGATCCTTATGGGTCCCTTCAAACTCAAGGTATTCTATGATTCTACTATTTCATAGCATCGTGGACCAGTTCATATTCTGTCTCTGTGTTCCTGGATAAAAGGTGGTGTACAGACTAAGCTGTGCTACCATTACAACCTGCAGTGTGTCTAATGGTAGATGGGTGGAGGTTTCATTGGAAATGAAATGCAGTAACTATTGGCAAAACTCACAAAGCTTTTCCAAGGATACCTACAAATAATATGCAGTCCATTGGGCAGTCTGGCACCCAAATTGTTCATTTTTACTAGAGTTATCCTCTGTCTTGGAGTTCCTACCTCATTTATCAGTGCAATACCTTTCTGGAGCTATGTATATCATCCTAATAGATAATAATCTTTCAATTTAAATGGAAACTTTAGAAGATACTAATATTTATTTAATGAGTATCATTAGAAATACTAAAAAGAGTACCTGACATTGTACTATATTTATAAAATATGGTTTGAGGAGTTACAAATATTTTTTTATTGACTGCATAAAAATAAACCCATTTAAATAATTAATATATGTGATGGGCTAATAATATTTTTTTTATTGCTTATGTGAAATACTGTAGTGGTCTTAACATTTGCAAGGATCCTAATATTTGTTGCCATACTTTAAAATTAGAAAGGTATATTTTAAAAACTCATTGCTTTGCCAAAGCACTGTTTTGGGGATTTGTTTTCTGTTTATGCATTGTGTCATGAGGAGAATGAAGTATGACTTTGTTTATATAACATATACATACAACATATTCAACATATAAAAAATAATATTTGATCCAGTGCTGCACACCAAATTTAAGCTGCAACTTCACTCCTGTGCAGTGTGAACTCCTTAGTTGTGCAGCCCTTGTCCTCTCTCTGCCCCTCTGAGCAGCCCATTACTCATTAGGTATTGGGGAGCATCCTAAATCTTCTGCTGCAGGCAAATCTGCAGTTTTACCGCTTCTCATTTTTGCTCATATATTTGAATTGAAGATAGTAAGCAAGTTTGGATCTCTTAGGTAGCAAAAAAATTAGAATAAAGAAAGAAAATGATTAATAAAGAACACCTACTAACAGTCTTTGCAAACCCATTCTGAAGGCAAAGGATCAAAACATCCTGTTTCTTGCTTAGCTAAGATCCCTTCCTGCACTCCCCAATTATTTAATGTTTGGCTGCATGTTTGTGCAATAGTTTCTGAGATTAATCCTAATTATCTTCCTATCCGAAGTGAAAATATATGCATATTCCCCTACAAATCTTTTCCACAGTGAAATACTTCTTTCTGGAAAGCCTCAGTGTCAGGATCTTATTGTCAGCACTATGGTACACTCAAAATGCATTTATTAATACACTTTTCTTCCATTACTGCCCATGTTCTAGGGCAACAGCATAACCATTTATGTAAAGCAAACACTCAAGCTCCATTAAAATACATTTCACTGGAAGAGACAGTCATATTTTCATTGTCAAACTCCTGCTTAATATTTATTTTGTGTTGCTTTAGGTCATTTGTGTATGCTTTAGCTCTTACATCAAGGTTGCTTAAGGGAAGGCACGAGGCAGTACCCTTGGCTTCTTGGGCTGTGTGGAGATAAATTGTGTGCAGATTTCAACCTTATTGTCTAGATTTCTTCAGACATCTCAACCAGAGACATAATATCTTTATTCTTGCCTTTATGCCTTAATTTCTCCAGAAAATGAAGGTAACAGAGTTTCCATGGAAACTGAGGCACAGATTGTGTGCTAGGAGACAGGTTCCCTTTATGTGCTGTTGGGAAATGTCCAAGGTGCACAACTGTGTCTCTGAATGAGGAGCTCAGAATGTTTATCTGCTGGTTAAGATGCAATTTCAACACAGCTGTGCAAGTGTGTCCAGATCTCTCAGTATTGCCCTGCC